GAAATGTGTTTTATGCACTTTTTATACAATATGTTACTCTATGCATTCTTGTATTTGTACGGTACTTGTGATTTTTTAGCTTTTCGTTCAACGAAACGAACGGATAGAAAAGAAATTACTATTATCTCGATCAGGGCTATATTTGCTCATAATAGGCCCATCAACATGGGCAAGTAATATTTAGGTGATTGATAAATGTGCTCAAGTTGGTCCAAAATGAATGGTATACTTGCCCCGGGACATGCATTTCATAACCCAAATCGACAAAGAGAGAGCTGCACGTGCGAAATCCTCGGGGAACACATTTCACGTGCTTCACGCTGGGCCGACTCACACAGTGTTTTCACAGTTGAGCAATGTTTCTTTAAGCATTTTAGGTGCCATAATTAACCATTTCAACGATTAGACACTGGGTCCTCGTGGCCTAACCTATACATAAACACATGCCCATGACAGTCGGAATCGCACAATCGACTCTGCTCAGAGATTTCTATTGGATATGGAAAGGGTTTTGTCACTTTATTTTATAGATATAAGGAAAAGCTTTGAACGAGACAAGATTTTGTTATCTCTAATAGGCTAGGTATTATAATAAAGTGGTATAAAGTTTTCTCTGATTGACTTATAATGCGGACATATAAGGAGGGAATGAAACTCGTCTTCAATACAATTTCCATGACAATGTGTGCATAACAACTTTTCGGATCAATCTTTAATCGTTTATGTTGTTTTTTCAACTTATGGGATGGGGAACGAAACATGCAAAATAATCGCAATACATCGTTACGATTAAATAATTCAGTTACATATTTTTCAACTTCCTAGCCCAGACTTATACCCACTATACAAATTTAAAAAAGGAAGATCTTGAAATCTTATCATGCCAATTCTTTAACTCTATATCCCTACACATTTCTGGCGTCCCCCGCCGTGATGTTGCTGGAATATTGCTTAAAGCGGCGTGAAGCCATACTCACTCACTCACTCACTCACTCACTCACTCACTATATCCTCACATCTCTGCTGTATCATAGTAAGAAAGATTATAACATTACCACAATCTTGAGAAATCCAGACATATGAAAACCCGCCTCGAACCGTAATTTACGTATATGACAGACCCAGTTTATTCTCCCATTATCAAAGCGTTTCAGCATCTCACAACATGACTTTGGGTATCTATGCTTTTCCATTAGTACACCATTAAGTCTACACCAATAATCCATGAATGGACACAATAATGACTCCTCCCAATGTCCCCAATAACGACACTACTTGACCTGCGTTAAGAAACACCTAGACACCGGGCTCTTAAAGAAATCACTTGGCAACTTTTCTAAGGCCTCCCTAAAAGTGAATCCCAGATGCCTGCTCCACACACTAATATTGGTAAAGCATGGAAAGGTAAATTTTGATAACTCCTCAATAGTCTGTGGATACCAGTGCTTGCCTTTCTGGCTTGAGTTGATTAACAAGCTTTTGACCACACTAATCTGGATGATTATACAATATTATACCAATATTTACCCGTACTTTAATCATGATGACTCCTGAAATAGAAGCCGACCTCGGCAATGTCAGACGAGTCCATTTTATGCACTGGTGGGTATTTCTCGCATTTTTTCACAATCCTCAGTGAAGGACCATGTTACATCACCTGGTGTACGGCCATTAACACAATATGCATACACCAGACCTTACATAACACTAGCAGATCGATTCCGAACTTGTTTGTTCTGTGCTGCACGTGCTTCACGAAATGTCTCTTTTATAGATGTCACGAGTCTGAAATTGGTCACTCCCAGACTCCTGATCGACAATAAAGTCTTCATTACACCTACTCCGTGCGTTGAAGTCACCAAATAATATAAGTTCTATTTCAGACACATATTCAGAAATAATAACTGCAAGGCAAGTTCATGTATACCGTTGTTATCATGAAAGCCGTACAGAGGGGATTTCTCGGGTGGAACGTCAACAAAACCCACGATGAACGGAGTCGTGTTGCAAGCTAACGTCGAGACTTGAAACAACATACAATTAGACCAATCCTCATGTTTTCTCTTAAACCAGTTTGAGAAGAATGAATACGGCAATTCCCCCGGAATAACGCCCCCTTGTCTGTAGCTGTCTTGCCAAAGAAGCAAAACACGTCAAGTCTGGTATCAGGCTGTAGATCAGTGCATTATCGCTATGCATGGTTTCATACAATCCTATCACATTGAGAAGATATAAAATCAACGAATGCTCATTCATGACAGAATGGATTCCTTGCATATTCCAACTACATATATTAATGCTCCAATCACGGCGTCCAATGTTACTTACATTACATGGTAAAGTGTTTCGAACAAGGCGGTAGGCACGGAGTTTGTCGCCTTCCCGCAACACGTGGCCTTTCTCTGTTGTTCAGTTTCTCTTTCGCAGCTTCGAGGGGGGCACGGGTGGCCCAGTCGTCTAAGGCGCCACGATTCGCTGTGCAGAGTTGCGTCCCTTGGGCTCGCGAGAAACCTTTGATTGTGGGTTTGAATCCCGGTTCGCCCCGATTATGTTTCTAGGTTTGTCAGCACCATACCCGTGATCGTGGGTTTCACCGAAGTGGTAAACGTTTGAGACCTGCATCACTTCGGGCTTTCCTCCCACATTAAGCTGACACGCCGTGATATAACTGGAATACTGTTAAAAACGGCGTTAAACCCAACTCACTCACTCACTCACTCACTCACTCACGCAGCTTCGAACACAGTAACTTTGTCCTTGTAGAAAGGATGAGTCGATTTTAGGCGATGGGCGCCTGCAAGTTTGGACAGACCAAAGTTTTCCATAGGAAATCCCGCACAACCGTTTCTGTATCCTTCCAGCTTTTTCTCTGTCACCTTCAATAACATAAGACCCGTGAAGATCCGGGGTAGAAGAGGTCTTCAGCAACCCATCCTTGCCATAAAAGGTGACTATGCTTGTCGTAAGAGGCCACCAACAGGATTGGGTGTTCAGGCTCGCTGACTTGGTTGATTCATGTCATCGATCCCTGTTGCATGAATCGATACGCATGATGGAAATCACTGGATTGTCTGGTCCATACTCGATTATTTACAGACCGCCGTCACATAGATGGAATATTGCTGAGTGCGGCGTTAAACAAACAAACAATACCATGAATTTTCACATTATTTCTGTATCTGTACCAAACCAGAAATGTTGCACGGAAAGAATAAAAAAAGTTGAAATCAATGTCGACACTTCTCTTCACTGATACTAATGCTTCTAAATGACACTCAAAATAATATTTTCTTCTCATCGCTGTGCTAGAAGGCTCTGTTCTAGACACAGTGAAGATCAGGCATGAGTATCGGGCTTCATTGATACTGGAAGGTAAACTAAAGAAGGCTTTGGGGTTTGCATCCTTCTGACACATTTCCACCCTTTCTTAAACCCCAGCTGCAGGGATATTATAACCAAAAGTCACTTGTTCCACAAAGCAATGCAGTGGAAGTAATGTCACTCACATAGACAGCAAAGATATGGATGAGATTTTAGCCTATGATTGGTTGGTTGGTTGGTTGTTTAACGCCGCACTCCGCAATATTCCATCTATATGACGGCGGTCTGTAAATAATCGAGTCTGGACCAGACAATCCAGTGATTGATATCATGACCATCGATCCACGCAGTTGGGATTTTACCCATGCTTATAGACACTTAGTACAAAAGGCTGGCAAATGTGAAGTCTGAAGCCATTGAATCGACAATAAAATAAAATAAGATTTCGGTATTCGGAGAAACAACAGAAGATTGCAGACCGCATTGTATATGACGGCGGTCTGTAAATATGAGCATCGATCCACGCAATTGGGCTCGATGACATGTATCAACCAAGACAGCGAGCCTGACCACCCGATCCCGTTAGTCGCCTCTTACGACAAGTATTGTCATAAAAACAACCAAGAATGATGACGCGATGTGTGGTAAAATAATGAATGTTTGAAATAATTTGATCAATAATTGGACATGCCCACATCATTGGCGTCTGGCCAGAATGTGTCAGTTTGTTCACAGTAATACAGCATTAGGTCCCCGGGCATATAGACAATTTCTGATTGTCTCGTCAGAAACTAGAACTCCAGTGGCCTGGCACAAGTGAATAGCAATTTGATTGGCTGTTTGTTTAAATAATCGAGCCTGGACCAGACAAACCAGTGATTGATACCATGAGCATCGATCAACGCATTTGGGATATGATCACATGCATCAACCAAGTCAGCGAGCCTGACCACCCGATCCCGTTAGTCACCTCTTACGACAAGCATAGACACCTTTTACGGCAACCATTGGTTGCTGAAGACCTATTCTACCCCGGATCTTCACGGGTCCAGTGTTTTGTAATTAAGTGGACTGCTGTGCTGTGGCAATTACCGTATTCGACGTAATAAGCGCCCAGGTCGCTCTCAAAATTAAATATAGGGGGCTCTTATTAGAATATTATGTTGGTGAAAAAAAACAGAGTTGAAAGATAAGTTTCGTGGTTTATGCTGACAGCCTGAAATGTTCATGTACGACAGATATATTTTTTCAGAATTTAATTGCCCATAATTAAGGTTGCATATAACACACGAGTGCGTATTATACGCGAATAAATAAGATTTGTGTACATTGATCAATCGGAAGGGATGCTAATTGGGATTGTTCACAAGCCAATATTTTAGCAAATATCGCCGTGGGGGTTATTAGAGCGGGGCGCTTATTACGTCGAATACGGTATGCCGTGAAAATGAGAGAATGATACAATAAAGAAGTGCTACATGTATTATTTGTTAACAGCGAATATGTCTGAATAAAGTGTATACTTCATTCTTGCCAAAGTATACAATACTATATAAATCGTTCTTTTGTTTTCATAAATATATGTTGCCGTTTTCACCAGATGGGAAACGGTCCCGTTTTACAGAGGTGCCGTTTCAGCCTACAACCGTATAGGATAACAATAATGTGTTTATATATCTGAGTATTTGGAGGGTACGACACGTGTAGTTGACATAAGCATATTCAAAAGTGCTAAATACAGTGAGTGTTTAAACCTTATGGTCAAATTTCATCGCGCTCCCCGAGACTTCTCAGCTTTTTTTCCTTTTATCGATTAGTATTGCTTCCGGTTGAGGAAGGTCGGATTATTATTTTTGGTTAGTTTTCACAATGTCTGAACTAGGCTTAGTTATCAATATAAACGGCGAAGAATTTCTGTTCACAACACCATGTGGTAACACACACGGGGTAAGAGTGATGTAATTGTAACGTTTGTAATGGATTTGTGGGTAGTTCGGAAATTCCTGGGTTTTGTCCGATCGCTGTGATGTTTTATGTCCGTTTACGATATTCTCGGAATATCAACATTTTCATTGTCGACTAGATCTAGATCTAAAATCTTGTGAAGCTTTACTGGTGTTTGTGGGCCCGATCTCAAATTTTTGTGGTGAACGTTTGTTCCTCTGCATTCTGAAGTTAGATTTCGGTGAACAAGTAATTAAAACGGCACCGCATCAAAACTGCCCCATATGTGGATCGCGGAAACGGCCTGTTTGTGCAACTACTGCATAATATAATCTACATCAACATGATATAGTCAGCATTTGAAGAAGTAATGTGTCATTCGAGTATGTCACTCTCACAACCAGCGTAGATGTATTTCTTTTTTTCTAACGTGTTTGTGAAAAAGAAAAGAAAAACACTTTTGAATATTTATTGTCCTGACATTTTGATACCTCCAATCATGTACCTGTACTTAATTTTATCAGCTTTACTGGGCACTTGTTAAGTTAAAAAACTCAAATCTACCACAACAACAATATGCACACAGCCTTCTAATTAACATGATGTTCATACAGTATCACTGTCAGTGATAATAAAACCTGTTTACACTTGGTCTTGTCACTATTTCATCACCTCAAAATGGCTAGAATGTTGTAATGTAAAATGTAACATGCCTTATCATTGATCATGCAAACTAGTTTTTGTACCAGTACTGTAAGATCAGGGTTGGATCAATCGGCATATTATAAGCATGTATTTATAAATCACTGTCACATAGTGGTGACACAGGTGTTACAAACACATGCAAAGACCAGTCAATTGTTCACCTGAAAAAAACATGGGAACATATGGTACAAGTCAAAAAAGGAAATGCATCAGACATTGGTTTTGTCACAGATGTGTTTAATTTTGAAATGTCCTCATCCTGTCTACCATAAACCTTTTGAAAAGCTTTACTAAGGACCTGAATGTTGCAATCTCATTCAAATCAGATCTTAGTTCTCATTGACGGTAAACAAAGATCTGAGGACATCCCATTACAAGTCACGTCAGACCATAATGTTTAGCGGTAGCGAGATCTAAGATCTGATTTCAATGAGATTGTGAATGTTGTAACCCTTATCAAACATCTTTTGAGCAAAGAGTCAGATTTCAAATCTATGGCTGAAATCTTGCCGATGTGACATAAAGCACTCACTCACTCACTCACTCACTCACACAACATTTTGCCATTCAGCTTCACCAAAGTGGTAAACATCTGAGACCTGCATCACTTCAGGGTTTCCTCCCACATTAAGCTGACATGACATGATATAACTGGAATACTGTTAAAAGTGGCTTTAAATCCAACTCACTCACTCACCCACTCTGGCTTTGGTCTAGTGGATAAAGTGGCAGAATGCTGGTGTAAAACAACTTAACTTTTTCAAATTTCATTTGTATTTTGATTGCAGTGCTTCCTTGGCCTTGATCTGTGTTTTTCTGATGGAAACATGAAGAGATGACAGATATTTAATCTTTATGGTTGGTTATTGAATCAAGTATCCAAGTATGGAAGTACAGAACGAAATGCATGAGAATAACCATGACCATATTAAAGAAGATCTGAACACTGGAGATGCTCGAGGTGAGATAGCAGCAAGTACCAGTGATAGCAATGTGTGTTACAGTGTAGTCAAACTGTTTCCATGTATCGAATGTGGGATAACATTTACAGACCTTGCCGACCTGCAGGCACACATGAGGCGTCAGAGTGGTGCCAAGCCCTATCAGTGTGGCGAGTGTGGGAAAGCATTTACTGAATCTGGTGACCTGCAGACACACATGGAACTTCACAGTGGTGGAAAGCCATTTACGTGTGGTGAGTGTGGGAAAACATATGCAACATCTAACAGCTTGCAGAGGCATATAAGGCTTCATAGTGGAAACAGGCCTTTTAATTGTGGCGAGTGTGGAAAATCGTTCACAAATTCAAGTGACCTGAAGAGACACATGATGGCTCACAGTGGAATTAAACCTTTTAAGTGCAGTGAGTGTGGGAAGGCATACACTACATCAAACTATCTGCAGACCCACATGAGATATCACAATGGTGAGAAGCCCTACCCATGTGGCGAGTGTGACAAAGCTTTTACAACGTCAAGTCACCTGCAGACCCATATGAAATGTCACACGGGGGACCAGCCTTATCAGTGCAGTGAGTGCATGAGTACATTTACCACGTCCAGTTACCTAATGACTCACATGAGATGTTCTCACAAGATACTCAAGCCGCACCAGTGTTCCGTGTGTGAGAAAGCATTTAAACGTTCAAGTGACCTGCAGACACACATGAGGAGCCACACCGGAATCAAGCCCTATCAGTGCACTGAATGTGGAAAAACATTCACACAGTCAAATCACCTTCAGGCACACCTGAGGTCTCACAGTGGAGCCAAGCCTTACCAATGCAGTGAGTGTGGGAAGGCATTTTCAACATCAAGTAACATGAATGCACACATGATGTGTCACACTGGAGCGCGGCCTCATCAGTGTTTAGAGTGTGGGAAGGCGTTTGCAACGTCCAGTCAACTGCGGACACACATGAGAGGTCACAGTGGAGTGAGGCCTTATTCATGTACCAAGTGTGAGAAGTCATTTATAACATCAGGTCACCTGAAGAGGCACATGACCTGTCACAGTGGGGCAAGGCCTTATCAGTGCAGTGAGTGTGAGAGAGCCTTTTCACAGAAGGGTCATCTTCAGACACATATGAAATGTCACCGTGGTGTCAAGCCTGTTTAGCATTGTTTTCTGTATGTATTTGGTGATGCAACTGAAGAACTTAATTACTGACAAAGTCATGTTCTAGCAGAGACCATAAGATGTTATTTTATGGTCTCTGGTTCTAGTAAGAAGCTTAGGATGTGACCAAAAAGGATGCAGACAGCCTGTGCTTCTCAGCAATTAAAATACCTTGAAAGTTCATTGGTAATTCACAAGAACATACATCAGTGTTCATTTCTGTACATTGCATCCATTGGCATGACATTTGTTTTGGAAATAGCATAAGGACACACAGGTATAATCACAAATTAACTTGTTAAGGAACTCTTGGGTGAAAGGGTTCACACAGAAACGAGTTTAGGAAATCAGTGACAGTCATTTCTGGTGATGGTTCTGTTGTTCATGCACATAAATAAATCCTTTCTCAAGCATGTCAAATGTGTTTTTGTTTTCTATCATTGTGTTTGCGTTCTATACTCCTTGTTGGGATTCCTGAGTGGATATTGTCCCCATTCACCTACTATATGACAGCAGTAGTGACCTATTGGTGTCATTGGAGTTACCTTGTGGTGGATCAGGTTGTCCTATTGACTTGGCTGACATGTTGCTGCTGGTATGGATTGTTGCGCAAACATTCACACAGGTTTGTCTGATCCAGCTTTTCCAGAAGGGTGCCGGGATGAGGGATGCAGATTTTCCCATTTATCATGTACGTCATCTTTTCACCTACACCCATGAAAGCACAAGAAGGTAGCATGTGGCCAGTGCACAGGAACTCGTTATTAGTCAGTTACAGTAATATACGGTCGGGTACAGTATAAGAGACTCATTTCACACTGTCACAGGGTCGTATGTTACACAAACCGACCAATAACAAGTTCCTGTGCTGAATGTGGGTAATAAGTGGATACCATTAAAACATTTAAGTGAGTGAGTTAAAATTTTACATCCCATTGGCAATATTGCAGCCATATTGCGATAAAACATTAAAAACCAAACTACAATCACATCATTTTGAGATATCAGCCATGTAAAATTTTCACTTTGCTGATTGATTGAAGTTACTTTCAAACGTATCTGGTCATATTTTGGAAACAAACTGATAACCTTAAAGGGGCACTGATCTAACGCAATTCCCCGGGACTGGTTGTTGCCTTTGTTATTGTTTTTTCCCAGTGAGTACCCGGATGTATAGCAGAAATCTAGACTAGTTCGCGACCTCTGCTGCGCCATTCGTAAACGCATTATGGGTAGTAATAAGGGCGTATGGTCACATTGATCAACAAAATGAAATACAGTTTTCGAGATAATAAGGAAATGTAGGTATCTTTGTGGGTAGCATCGGTAATGGTGACAAAGTTTTGATAAGTCACTTGCTTGGTAATTTTGCGATTTTCGTTTACACTATTTTGACTTGCAACACAAAGTACATATTTCACCTGAGCATTGCTTTTTTTATAGTGTGTATTTTTTTTTACTGTCAAATGTGTAACAAATTTATTAAACGTCTACATATTCAGTTATTTTACAAAGTGACTGAAAACCATTTCCATCTGTATTATTATGATAACGAATTCCAAACATTTTGATGTTTAAAGGGGCACTGATCTAACGCAATTCCCCGGACTGGTTGTTGCCTTTGTTATTGTTTTTTTCCCCGTGAGTACCCGGATGATACGCAACGCAACTGAGCGTGACCAGAGACTGGGCTACCGTCTGCAAGGACAGCTAAATAAACTTGGAGGCTGGAGGTAATATTTGTTTTACGCATTTTTGCATAAACACGGATTGGTTAACTGTGATCTATACAGATTTCGACAAAGAGCGCATGTTAATTAATTTCTTCAGCCTAAACAAGCAGACAAAAAGAACAGCGGAGCTCATCGGATGTCGTCATTTGGAAATACCCCAGATGGTTACAGTTTTATACTAAAAAAAGTATCCATGCAGTGAAAGCATTTTCGGATTTCGGCTTGCGTCGATAATACGATTACTACTCCCTTGTTGACATCCACGTTTTCTCGTATAACCCTTCACTTGTGTATTTGTCGTCATTCACTTGATGCTCAGTTAATGAATTTATTACAGGTACAATTAGTGGTAGCACCACTTAGATTACCTGACAAAGGTTCCCATTTGGCATTTATTGTGTCTGGGGTAATTATTCAATCTAAATCCAGGTTTGAAGTGAGGTGAAATGTGTGTTATGTAATATGCACGTGGCAGCCCAGCAAGAGATGAATGATCAGTTGATTTATTTTTTTGTAAATCAACGGAACATTCCTAGTCATCAAAGGATTAACAGAAAATACGTTGATTGTATAATCACTGTTATCTTTCACAGTGGATATGTCAAGAGTGAGTGTTTACATGTCTAGGTTTACTAAAACAAAGGGAATACACTCATGCCATGGCGTGAAGTGCCGATGTAAAAACATCATACTTTGTTCAAAGGGTTAACTTATAATACGTTGATTGATTGATCATTGTTATCCATCACTCAATGGTTTTTTAAGGAACCGTGAACGTTTTGAAAATAGTTGTCACGTGGGCTTTCTCAGCCGACCATTAAGACTTGACACCTATGTAAAACACCTGAAACAATCCAAGTGATCAGTTGAGAAACGAACACGGGTTATAATATACCGAAACGATATATATCTTTTAAAATATTTGATTGTTACTGAGACACGTGACATCGAATAAGTTTCTTTGTACATCTGCAGACGAGTGGGATATTGTTCCTTTGTGTGGATATTCACGGATACATTCCTCGAACAAGGAAGCTGCCTAAAATTTATACACATAAATTTGGTAGGTTGTAATTATGATATTTGCATTTTGTTTTCCTTCATTTGAACCGATTCGTTCTTGTTTCTCTACGTCTTGGTTGGGAAATTCTTCAATGCGCGATAGACGTTGTTTTCACAGGTCTTTTCCTTTGTAAGCGTGTATATATTACCGTCAATTTGTAAAATGTGATTCTCTCAGGCAATTTTTAAAATGTGAAAATATTTTAGTCATTTTGACTAAAAAATCTTTCCAGATTGATTAAGACGATCAAAAGGGCCTACAAACATCACAACAGATTATTATGTAGGATTAGAAGCCAAACAACATAGAAATGTACTTTTCTCAACGTAACATTTTCAGTCTCTTGGTGATGACATTAAACATCAAAATGTTTGGAATTCGTTATCATAATAATACAGATGGAAATGGTTTTCAGTCACTTTGTAAAATAACTGAATATGTAGACGTTTAATAAATTTGTTACACATTTGACAGTAAAAAAAAATACACACTATAAAAAAAGCAATGCTCAGGTGAAATATGTACTTTGTGTTGCAAGTCAAAATAGTGTAAACGAAAATCGCAAAATTACCAAGCAAGTGACTTATCAAAACTTTGTCACCATTACCGATGCTACCCACAAAGATACCTACATTTCCTTATTATCTCGAAAACTGTATTTCATTTTGTTGATCAATGTGACCATACGCCCTTATTACTACCCATAATGCGTTTACGAATGGCGCAGCAGAGGTCGCGAACTAGTCTAGATTTCTGCTATACATCCGGGTACTCACTGGGAAAAAACAATAACAAAGGCAACAACCAGTCCCGGGGAATTGCGTTAGATCAGTGCTTTCAGAGACTGAAAATGTTACGTTGAGAAAAGTACATTTCTATGTTGTTTGGCTTCTAATCCTACATAATAATCTGTTGTGATGTTTGTAGGCCCTTTTGATCGTCTTAATCAATCTGGAAAGATTTTTTAGTCAAAATGACTAAAATATTTTCACATTTTAAAAATTGCCTGAGAGAATCACATTTTACAAATTGACGGTAATATATACACGCTTACAAAGGAAAAGACCTGTGAAAACAACGTCTATCGCGCATTGAAGAATTTCCCAACCAAGACGTAGAGAAACAAGAACGAATCGGTTCAAATGAAGGAAAACAAAATGCAAATATCATAATTACAACCTACCAAATTTATGTGTATAAATTTTAGGCAGCTTCCTTGTTCGAGGAATGTATCCGTGAATATCCACACAAAGGAACAATATCCCACTCGTCTGCAGATGTACAAAGAAACTTATTCGATGTCACGTGTCTCAGTAACAATCAAATATTTTAAAAGATATATATCGTTTCGGTATATTATAACCCGTGTTCGTTTCTCAACTGATCACTTGGATTGTTTCAGGTGTTTTACATAGGTGTCAAGTCTTAATGGTCGGCTGAGAAAGCCCACGTGACAACTATTTTCAAAACGTTCACGGTTCCTAAAAAAAACATTGAGTGATGGATAACAATGATCAATCAATCAACGTATTATAAGTTAACCCTTTGAACAAAGTATGATGTTTTTACATCGGCACTTCACGCCATGGCATGAGTGTATTCCCTTTGTTTTAGTAAACCTAGACATGTAAACACTCACTCTTGACATATCCACTGTGAAAGATAACAGTGATTATACAATCAACGTATTTTCTGTTAATCCTTTGATGACTAGGAATGTTCCGTTGATTTACAAAAAAATAAATCAACTGATCATTCATCTCTTGCTGGGCTGCCACGTGCATATTACATAACACACATTTCACCTCACTTCAAACCTGGATTTAGATTGAATAATTACCCCAGACACAATAAATGCCAAATGGGAACCTTTGTCAGGTAATCTAAGTGGTGCTACCACTAATTGTACCTGTAATAAATTCATTAACTGAGCATCAAGTGAATGACGACAAATACACAAGTGAAGGGTTATACGAGAAAACGTGGATGTCAACAAGGGAGTAGTAATCGTATTATCGACGCAAGCCGAAATCCGAAAATGCTTTCACTGCATGGATACTTTTTTTAGTATAAAACTGTAACCATCTGGGGTATTTCCAAATGACGACATCCGATGAGCTCCGCTGTTCTTTTTGTCTGCTTGTTTAGGCTGAAGAAATTAATTAACATGCGCTCTTTGTCGAAATCTGTATAGATCACAGTTAACCAATCCGTGTTTATGCAAAAATGCGTAAAACAAATATTACCTCCAGCCTCCAAGTTTATTTAGCTGTCCTTGCAGACGGTAGCCCAGTCTCTGGTCACGCTCAGTTGCGTTGCGTATCATCCGGGTACTCACGGGGAAAAAAACAATAACAAAGGCAACAACCAGTCCGGGGAATTGCGTTAGATCAGTGCCCCTTTAATGTTTTGTACATAACTTTGTGTGAGTGTTTGTGAAATGAGGGTATTTACACAGGTAATTCATATTATAAATGTTTGGCTAAAAACGGCACAACCACGCCCTAAATATTTCACCATCTTGTACTGCTACTTATACACACACCACACATCATTCTTCACCAGGAAACGTTCAAAGCATGCAGTGGTTGGCATGGAAACACCACAGCTGGA